CAATATTTGGAGGTTCCTAAGGTCACCCTCTGGCTCAATAATTCGCTAAGACTCACAAGACTCACGTGAGCTGTCTGTTATACTCATGGTTATGGTTTATTACATATAGTAAAAGGTTACAAATTAAAATCAGCAACAGGAAAAGGCACATAGGGCAAGGCCCAGGGGAGTTCCAAGGCTGCTCTGTCAGTGAAATGTATAGAATATTGCCAAATAGTCATGCTTATCTGAGCCTTGGTGTCTAGAGTCTGGGCTTAATCACACAGACATGGTTCACCACCCATGTGGGTGACTTTAGTCTCCAGCCTCTCCAGAGGTTGAGAAGATACTGCATTGCCCAAAGGTGCCATATTTGCCCCCTGAACGATAAACATTGTGTTAGCATAGGCTACCTGGTGTGTCCCAAGCCATTCAAGCAAACAAAGAAATTCTTATCAGGTAGGACATTCCAAGGGTTTAAAGGTTACCTCCCAGAAGCCAAAGGCAAGCCCAAACCTTTCTTAGGGCAGAGTTAATTCTTTACTTCACTACATATATAGGGTGTCCCCATAAAATGTACACAAACTTTGAATGATTATAGAGTCAGTGTTTATTAACATACAGTTCATTTTCAAAATTTAAAAGAATCTACAGAAATGAGTAAATTTTGTCAACTCCTGTTTTCAAACTGATGACTGTTCTGGTCCAGGCACTACTGATAACACGAAGCAATGGAATCGCAAACATCAAGAGTCATTCCATTCTGTATTTGTGCACCCTCAATTCATCAACTGTTGCTGGTTTTGTACCATAAATTTTATCTTTTATGTATCCCCATAAAAAAGTCTAGTGGATAAATTTTCTTTGCTTAAAGCCCAGTCTGGTTGAAAAGAAAGAAACCTCAATTGAGCTATCAGCTGTTAAAGTGTGTATACATGTTTTTGGGACACCCTGTATATATGTATATGTAGATAAAATCAATCTTTTTGAGGTGGTTATTTAAATACAAATGGGATTATAATATAGATTCTGCAACTTGTTTCTTCTTATTTAGTAATATATTTGACATATCTTTCAAGGTTAGTATATAGAGATCTACATCGTTAATTTTAGTTATGCAACATTTGTTATATTATAGTCTCATTAACCCCCTTTGACAGGCTTCTAGATTATTTTTAATTTTTTACCATAACAATGCTTCAGAGACTATATATTTTTGAGTACTTATGGAAGTATATCTTTACAATAAATTCCTACATATTGAAATACGGGTTGAAGGGTGCACACATTTTACATTTTAATATATTTAGATTAATTTTTATTCCTACAAAGTGTACCTGTTTCACCACACCCTCACGAACACTGAATATTGTTAGGTGGTGGAAATAATTTAAATCACTTGTGTAAAATGCTTTTTTTCTCTTTTGAAAACTTTAGGATTAAAAATAAACAATATGTAGCCTTTTAATACAAAGCTAGCTATAGATTTCAGTTGTTAGAAAGTATAATAATTAAAAAATGCACATTTACTATTTGTAGCCCCATCTGAATGCTAAATAACAATTTATATTTAATTTAATCAATTATATTATTGATTAAATTATATTATATTATTTAATCAATCATGCTAAAGCAGTTACTTGTTTTTTTTAAGTTTCTTCATCTTTATTGTTGAAAATATTATAGATGTCCCCTTTTTGCCCCATTGATCCCCTTCACCCCACATCTATCCTACCCCCAGGCCTTCCCCAGACCAGGGTCTGTGTCCATGGGTTATGTTTATGAACATGTAAGTTCTTTGATTAATCTTTCCCCACCCGCTCCCCCCTCCCCACCTTCCCTCTGAGATCCCTCCGTCTGTTCCACACTTCTCTGTCTCTGGATCCATTTTGTTCATCAGTTTATTTTGTTTATTATATTCCACATATAAGTACGATCATGTGGTACTTGTCTTTCTCTGACTGGCTTATTTCATTTAACATAATACTTTCTAGTTCCCTCCATGCTGTCCCAAAGGATAAAAGATCCTTCTTTTTTACAGCTGCATAGTATTCCATGGTGTGAATGTCCCACAGCGTTTTATCTACTCATCTACTGATGGGTACTAGGGCTGTTTCCACATCTTAGCTATTGTAAACTGCGCTGCTATGAACATAGGGGTGCATAAGATCTTTGTGATTGCTGTTCTGGGTTTCTTAGGATATATTCCTAGAAGTGGGATCACTGGGTCAAATGGAAGCTCAATTTTTGATGTTTTAAGGAAACTCCATACTGCTTTCCATAGTGGCTGCACCAGTCTGCATTCCCACCAGCAGTGTCCTAGGGTACCCTTTTCTCCACATACTTGTCAACACTTGTAGTTCATTGATTTGTTGATGGCAGCCATTCTGACAGGTGTGAAGTGATACCTCATTGTGGTTTTAATTTGGATCTCTTTGATGATTAGTGATGTTGAGAATTTTTTTCATATGTCTCTTGACCATCTGTATGTCCTCTTTGGAGAAGTGTCTAGATCCTTTGCCCATTTTTTTATTGGATTGTCTTCCTTTTGTTAAGTTGTATGAGTTCCTTATATATTTTGGATATTAACCCTTTATCAGATGTGTCATTGGCAAATATGTTCTCCCATACAGTGGGCTCCCTTTTCGTTTTGTTGATGGTTTCTTTTGCTGTGCAGAAGCTTTTTATTTTGATGTCCCATTTCCTTATTTTCTCCTTAGTTTCTTTTGCCCTAGGAGATGTATCAGGAAACACATTGCTATGAGAGATGTCTGAGATTTTTCTGCCTATGTTTTCCTCTAGGATTTTTATGGTTTCATTTCTTACATTTAAGTCTTTTATCCATTTTGAATTTATTTTTGTGTATGGTGTAAGTTGGTGGTCTAGTTTCATTTTTTTGCATGTGTCTGTCCAGTTTTCCCTACACCATTTATTGAAGAGACTGTCTTTACTGCACTGTATGTTCTTACCTCCTTTGTCAAGTATTAATTGACTATAATGGCATTGGTCAAGTTCTGGGTTCACTGTTCTGTTCCATTGATCTGTATGTCTGTTCTTGTGCCAGTACCAGGCTGTTTTGATTACAGTGGCTTTGTAGTATAACTTGATATCTGGTATTGTGATCCCTCCAACTTTGTTCTTATTTCTCATGCTTTCCATGGCTATTCGGGGTGTATTTGGCTTCCATATAAATTTTTGAAGTGTTTTTTCCAGATCTGTGAAATATGCTGTTGGTATTTTAATAGGGATTGCATTGAATTTATAGATGGCTTTGGGTAGTATGGACGTTTTAATGATGTTAATTCTTCTAATCTATGAACATGGTATATTTTTTCATTTGTTTATATCTTCCTTTATTTCTTTTTTCAGTGTCCTGTAGTTTTCTGAGTAGTCTTTCACATCTTTGGTTAGGTTTATTCCTGGGTATCTTATTTTTTTAATTGCATTGGTAAGTGGGATTTTGTTTTAGTTTCTCTTCCTGAGAGTTCATTATTGGTGTATAAAAATGCCACCGATTTCTGGGTGTTAATTTTGTTTCCTGCTACCTTGCTGAATTCATGTATTAAATCTGTTGTTTTTGTGGTGGAGTCTTTAGGATTTTCTATATACAATATTGTGTCGTCTACAAATAATGACAGTTTTGTTTCCTACTTTCCGTTTTGGATGCCTTTTATGTTTTCTTCTTGTCTGATCGCTGTGGCTAGGACTTCCAGTACTATGTTGAATAAGAGTGGTGAAAGTGGACATCCCTGTCTTGTTCCTGCTCTTAGGGGAAATGGTTTTAGTTTTTGCCCATTGAGTATGATGTTGGTTGTAGGTTTGTCATATATGGCCTTTATTATGTTGAGATATGATCCCTGTATTCCCACTTTGCTGAGAGTGTTTATGAAAAACAGGTGTTAGATTTTATCGAATGCTTTTTCTGCATCTGTTGATATGATCATGTGATTTTTTTCTTTTTCTTTTTTTTTTTTTCTTTTCAGAAAAACGTAGGTTCACCACTATACAATCTGCCGGTAATTGCAGCTATTTTTGGGTGATTTCATCATTTTGATATTTTTCTTTCAATTTGTTTATGTGCTCTATCACGTTTATTGATTTGCGAATATTGTACCAGCCTTGCATCCCTGGAATAAATCCCACTTGGTCATGGTGTAAAGCAGTTACTTTTGAAATCACATGGAAGATGAATTTTTTCTAATACCTAATAGATGGGGTAATTGGGCAACTGCTATTGTTGAAAATTGGTATTTAATATTAGTTACTAATATTACTAGTAACTATTAGTTACTAGTATGTTAATGAGCAAGCAAATTTTGTATGTGGGGTACTGTAGCAAACAATACTTATTTTAGTAAAATAACTATTTCTTTCAAAAGAGTCACTCAGCTATGTGATCTGTTACAGCTTAGAAAGCATTCTCACCACCCCTCATCCCAATGTAACAATCAGTTTAGTTGTCTTTAT